TCAATAATCCCATTTCTAGTGTTAATCCTAAATAAATAATAATGAATGTGCATTAGCTTTGGCTGTAAGGACGCTCACTGCAGCATGTTTGTGAAACAAACATGCACATACAGTATGATCCCATTTTTAAAACTATGTGGTAAGTTGTATGTGTGTGTGTATATATGTATGTGTAAAGATCAATAAAGACTCCTAGGTTGCACACCAAAATATTAGTAACAGTGATTATCTCTAGCTGGTTCATTTCCATGCAACTTTTGTTTTTTTCATTTTGCTTTCCTATTTTCTACGTGAATCTGTATCACTTTTGCAATAAGGAAAAAGCTACTAAAAGGAAGTACAACATGTGCAGTGAATTAAGATCTTGAAAACATGAACACATGCTCTGGCCAAAGACAAGAAATCCCTTCGGCCTGTTTACAAAGCAAAAGATCCAATACACAGATGTGCTCATTGGCTTCCTGGAAAACTCCCTGAATTCACATGGTTTTCTGCCACAGGCCCATGTGAAACCGAGAGAGGTATTCAGTTATGGGCACCAAAGAGATGAATAACACAAGGCAGACGTGGAAATCCCCCAAAACACAAGAAAACTTTCTTATTATTCCTTTTATTACAGCAGACAAGAAATTAAACTTGCTCTGACAAGTCTTAATGAATCTAAAAGTGACTTAAACATTTTTACAAAGGGAAGAGTGCTTCGAAAAGATTTAAATAATGTAACACTCTGCCTTTGAAAGATCTTCAAAACTTTTTATTAGGCAATAATTTGGCTTCAAATTTCTATAATCATATAATGTATTTTCTGAATGTTTTATTAACTATGGTATATAATATCTGATCATTTAAATAACATTCATTACAAATAAATACTTTGTGGTCTTTGTAGACTTTCTAACCTCTTCCCTAGACATACCTTCCCAGGAGAAATTGAATCCTTCTAGAAATAACTTTCACTAATAATCTTTAAAAGGGCAAAACAAGAAACAAATATATTGTATGTCCACTGTAATTGAAAGATAAGATAAAATAAATTTAAGTAATTAAGTAAAAAGTAAAAGGGAAAAGCAGTGTAAGGAAACTCTAGAGGAAAAAGGTCAGTAAGCAGGCTTACTTACAACAGACCAGAATCTAAGGAATACACAATAAACATGCCTCCTCAGGCTGCCACTGCGTGTAGTATTGTTAAATACGAGCGCTTCGTATCCTCCGCCACGATATAGTCCAGTCCCCTCAACGAAGCGAGATAAAACGAAGATGCTTCTTGACATCTTACTGTCATGTCACGAAGGCACTGGTCACAGCATTTTCAGTTCATCAGTCACTTACATGAGAGGCCTCCGAGTTCAGGTTCTTCTTAGCTTCTGCCTGGGTTATTTTAATAGACTCCTAATTTATCCCCCCATTTCTAATCTATCCCCATTTGAATCCAAAGAGCACCAGCCTGCCAGCCAGCTTAAATACCACTATAATCACATTACAATTACTACAAGAATCTTAGATTAATCTCTGAGCGCTGGAAAGCAAGCTGTGTAATGGCCTTGAAGTCCTTGTCTTCTGCTGCAGCTGAGCGTGAACTCCCTCTGCCAGAAGCAGGCTGATCCCACCGACTCCCGTTGAGGACCGGCTCAAGCGGCCCACCCCCGGCCCCGTCGATGCAAAGTCATCCTCTCAGAATGCTCACCGGAAAAGCTGGTCAGGTTTTCAGTAGCCATTACAGCTGCAAATAAACTCTACCTTCACAAAGTCAACAACACTCACAAATTGTCCAATTCATTGATCTGGCACTAAATCACACTGTCCTACTATCAGGCAATTATACGTCTATGGTCTAAGTTAATTAAACAGACACAATTCCCTTATGGGCCTTTATTTTTGTTGTACTTCTCACAGCCCCTCACAGACAGCTGGAAACCTGGTAAATCCTCAATATCTGATGAATAATGAACAAGCAGCCTCTTGAGTTTTTTCACAAATATATTTATAATTTCCTGTGCACCTCTAAGGATTTTCTCTAACAAAATAAATGATTATTTTACGTAGGTTCATGCATCTGGGGTCCCCAAGACCACCCCCCCACCCCCATACAGTGACCGGGAGGAAGACTCACAGGAATCAGCATATAGTCACACTCATGTCTAAGGTTTATGGCAACAAAAGGAGTCAAAGCAGATAAGCACAGGGAACAAAAGGTGCACAGGGCAAAGTCCTGAGCGACCAAGTGCAAGCTTCTAAGAGTCCTCTCCCCAGGGAGTCACCCAGAACACAATTTCTCCAGCATCAAATTGCGACAACACCTGCTGTCTACCAAGGACGCCTGTTAGAGACACAGTGCCTATGGCTTTTTTTGGGCTGGCCACACAGGCACCCTCTGCCTAGCACAGACCTCCAGGCTCCCAGAAAGTATTCGGCATAAATTGCACTGGAGCCTAGGTGCAGTGAGCCACTCTGAAGTTTAACATCAGCGTAGGCACCTGCTGATCTTTCAAGTTCCCAGGTGCCAGCAACTGTAAGCCTTTCTAAGGAAAGCAGTCCTGGGTGTGCTGTGTAGTTCACCTCATGTGTTTATGGGAGAAATGTTTGAGTATGAACTATATCTGATTGGTAAGAGGTCTCTAAGGTGATTTTTTAAAAAATTAAAATCTAGCATTTAATTAGAGATGCACTGCCTAGACTGGCGCCTAAGAATTAAAGTTATGCAAAATTTAAATAATTCGCATCCTTGAGGTATTTCAGGTTTCTCTTTTTCCTTTGTAAATGAGGTGTAATATTCAAACCAAAACTTTCCCAGTTGTCAGGATAAAGGAAGTATAACATCTAGAGGAAACAAACCCTCTTGGACAAGTTCCTGGTATTCTCTTTAAATGTTAATTGGGTGCCAGAGGGCTGTGGGAGCTGTTCTAGGTACAGGATCTCACAATAACCCCTTAGGCCAGTGATGGTCATTATTTTATAGATGGAAGTTTTGGGAAGCTAAGCACCCTGCCCTGGTTTCCCATGGCAGAGCTGGGGTTTAGGCAAAGATCCACCCAATTCCAAACCCTACCTCTACCTAACAAGGCACAGGCTCTTTATTATGGGTCATTTACCTCCAAACTATATGGGATGGCTGGGTGGTTGGTTTGGTTATACGGAACACTATTCTTAACCTTATTGATTCTAATTAAAGCCAAATTTTAGTTGGAAGACAAAGGGATAAGTTTAGTGCAGTTACTCATGTTTTTCCTTTCCAATGTGTGCAACTTCCAAATCAAATTATACTGCTGGCTTGTTAAAACCATTAGGAACCTCCCAATTCATCAGAGCATACAACTTTCTCTTTTACCCAGCATAAATTTCACACTAGACAGACCTATATCAGAATGTTGGCATTTCACTTACCAGATGCCGGGACCTTGGGAAAGTTTAGTAATGCTTTCCGGGTCTCAGTTTATTCATCTGCAAAATGGGAGTCCTTAGATCACGGGCTTGCTGAGTATTAAATAAGGTAACATATTTAAAAGACCCAGCCTATACACAGCTGCTGAATAAATGATTACCTGCATCAGAATAACTGATTTGAGAGGAGCAAGCCAACTCAATAATGGAGGGACAAAGAGGTGGTAGGGAAACACCCTGACCACCAGGTGTCACCACTGGCCCAAGGAGACGGGTGTAACGGCCAGAAGTCTTGGGTGTGACCCTAGAGCAAAACAGGGTAAGGTTCAGGGTAGGATTGTCACTTGCACCTGCAGGTCATTTGAGGACTGAATTGGCTTTTCAAGACCAAACAGCTGGTACAATATTTTTTGCACCATTCTAAGTTACATTGTTCTCTTGTCTGTGTTGAAAATGACTGTAGTATAAGTAGCTGAATAGCCACAGAAGATTTGTGAACACAGTTCAATTTTAAAAGCTGCCCTCAGCTGACCAGGTTTTAGTTCTGAGAATCAACAGTGCTTCATACATCCTTGGCTTCGGCCAACTAGACAGTACAGTCTCCGGTTTCCATACGCTTCAATACTGTCACTGCAGGCAATTTTCTGGCCCCAGTTCCACAACCTATTGACATTATGTCCTTTACATTATTAATAGGGATGACAAATAAAAGGAAAGTAGAATTTTTAGGATAAAAATAAACTCTGTGAACAGTAAATTTAGGCAAAAGGAGCATTAAGTATTGATCCTTTTCCTTGATCGCAGGAACTTAAATGTCCATTTTGAAAATGCTGTAATTTTTTTATTTTCTTAAGGAACACTTAGCTTAGAGTGAATCTGTCGACCTAGATATAGTCCTGAAATGACTCAAGAACGACTCCTGATTTTATTCTGCTACCTGCCAACGACTCTCTCTGAGTGCCCAGGGGCTCATATCAAATTTGGGGGCGGAGGGCAGGGTCTGGACTCTCGTTCTGGTTCTAGGTCCTTCGCACTGAGAGCCACTGCAGGCCACTCCAAGGTGGGTCACCCAGGGGCGGCGAGCGCAGAACCGGACACTCAGCTCCCCGATGAGGCACAGACTGTCGTCTGGTCCGCCCGCGAACACCAGCCTCCAACCAGCCCGCCCAGGCCCAGCCCTGGCTCCAGGTGCCCGGGAACCGACAGGGAGGAGGAGGCAGGCTAAGCACAGGCTTCTGCTCCGAGCCGGCGCTCTCGGAGCTTAAGTACGTTGGGTTATTTCTGTGAGTTTTAACAGCGGCTCAAGTTCCACTTTGCATTTCACAAACATGGAAACATCTTACAAGAAACCAGAAGCATCCTCTCCCTTCTGGCCATTGCTCCCTAGCCTAGAGAATTTAGGGGTGAAGAGCGGATCCCAGGAAGCATCTGGAATCAGGAGGGCAGGAGACCAGATGAGCCCATTTGAGAAGCACTTTGTGCAGATCAATAGCTTGCGGACCGATTTCAGGACGGTCCCGAGAGAGAGATGCCCACGAGGCTGGCCGCCCAGCCAGAGTGCGGGGGCCGCGGGAGGACGTGCGGGCCCCCACCCCGGCCCTGCGGGCGCGCCGGCGCCTTACCTGGGGGACTCGGCGGTGAAGCTGCCGCCGTCCAGCAGCCGCATCTTGCAGAAGAGGACCCCGTTGACGAAGGGCACGGAGGAGAGCTCCTCCAGCTGGAAGTCCACCTTAAACTTAAACTTCTTCTTCTTCATCATCATGAGAGCCAGGCGCCGGCGAGCAGGGTGAGGGGGCGGTCCCCAGGGGCGCGCGGGCCGCCACCGCCTCAGCTCGGCCGAGCCCCGGGCCCGCCCAGCCCCATGGCCGGAGCCGCGAGCTGCGCGCGGGGGCGCGGCCGGGGGGCGCCGCGAGCCGGCCGGGGCCGGGGCCGCCGCCCCTCGCGGCAGTCCGGGCCGGAGCGCGGCGGCGGCCGCGGCGCGGGGGCGCTCGTGCTGCAGCTCGCCTGGGCGGTGGGCGCCGGGTCGGGGCGCAGCTCGCCGCCGCCGCCGCCGCCGCCGCCGCTGATCTGAGAGCCGGAGAGGCGCCGCTCGGAGAACCGCCGCCGCAGCCGCCGCCGCCTCCTGCAGCGCGGGCCCCGGGCGCCCCCAGCGGCGACGGCCGGCAGCGCAGTGCCCGGCGGAAGCCAGAGGGCGGGCGAGGAAACTCGGGGCGGGCGCTCCGCGGGGAAGCGAGCCGCGACGGCAGTTAGGGCGTCAAGTCTCTCCGGGGTTCAAAAAATGCCAACCCATCCCAGAGGGAGCTTCCTCCCCCTCTTCTTCGCCGCTTTCTTTGCAGGGTTGCTCCGCCCTTCCCTCCTCCTCAGCCCCCTCCAGCGGAGTGTTTTCCCGCCTGGGGTTGAGAGTCATGGGCGACTATTATTCATCAGAATCTCCACGACGTTGTTTTTACCAAGGGGAGATCCTAAAACTAAAATTTCCCTTACGCGCTCTAAACTCACAAGCCTTCAAATATAGAAGGAAGGCGAGATAGGAAAGAGCAGAAGTATTAACATGTGTTGGGGGCCTGCCACGCGCCCAGGCACTGGCTGGACTGCTGCACGCTTTTCCTCTCGTTTGTACTCTAATTCCTGCCACCCAGGATAAAAGAGTACAGAACGGGTTAAACTAACAGCTTCCCTTTTCAAATTTGGCTGTGCGTGCTGAGAGCAGAAAAAACTAAAAATAAAGAAATCTCCCTAGACGCACAGCACTTACCTGCCGCCTATACGCAGGTATATGTCGTTTCAATGCATGCTGCCTGCTTGCTTACAGAACGCTCATGGTTTCAAACTGAGTCATTATTGTCCTTTTAGCGGAAGGATTCCCTCGCAGGAATCCCTGAAAGGGTGTCATCGAAGAGGTTCTCGTTCCCAGGTACTCATTGATTCCTGCATTCATCCATAGGAAAGTACTTCTGCAATAGGCTCAAATATCAGTCAGTGGCTAGACCCCATGATAAAAAACCCAAGTGAAAACAAAAGCCTGCCCTTAAATTTTTTACAATCGAGGGCGGGAGACATATGTAAATCAGTCACTAGAAAACAAAACCTAGCATCAAGGTGTGTCTCTTCAGAATGAAGCAGCACGTTGTCCGGAACTCAGAAGAGGAAGCGATTAATCGAAGTGAAGCAGGGTTCTGAATTTTAACGAAAGACCCGGATTTGGCACAAAGGGGTGGACCCCGAGGCAGAGATTTGGATTTGGGGGCCGGAGGCTTGGTAGTGGGTAAAGCTGGTTGCCCAGCAGGAGGAGAGGGAAAGGCGGTGGGAAGAGCTGAGGGGGCTCGTTGAGGCTGGTAGCTTGGACAACTAGATGGGTGTGAGTTCCATTGAACGAGCTGTGGGAGCTGGAGGAGGGCAGGTTGGGAGTGGGAGAGACGCCGAGGCTTGGAACTGCGGAGAGATGGGGCGGCCTTAGCTCAGGCGAAAGGTTAAGACTGAGCTCTGCATTTGGGAATGAGACTATTCGCTGACGGTGGAAGCCCCAAAAGTGGGTAAAAGTGTGTTACTCTGAAGAACATTTAAGGGGTAGGTGGAGGAAGAGGAGCTTGTGAAGGTGCCTGAGAACGCTCAGAGAAGGGCATCCAAAAAGATGGCCTGGGAGGCAAGAAAGGGTTGTAATCATTTAATGTTCATGGTTACTAAGACCTACTATGTGCCAGACACTATGCTGGGGACCCATGATAGAAATGAACAACACACAGGGGCTTATAAATGAATGGAGGATAACATAGACATGAGGACAACGTAGGTGTGCGAACAGATCACAAAGAGACAGAGAGAAAGAGAATGAGAAAGAGACCGTCATGATCCATGGAGAGCAGAGCAGAAAGTTTCCAGAAAGTGCTGCAGAGCAATCCTGGAGGATTTGGACTATGACGAGAAGCAGGGTTTAATACCCCAAATTATGTTATTTGGGATATGTATTATCTTAAGCTATTTTTTTTTTCAAGAAATAAAAAAACTCAGGAAGAACCTTTGACCTGCCCCCTTACCTGCCTAAAGGAATTCAGATAGAAGAACCCATTTAAAGGAAGGGAGCTATCACCTTATCTTAGATAAACTAAGTGTCACAGAAAGGGAGGAACCTAGCAACCTCTGTTTGTTGGACTCGCTCTGTGTCTCATTGTTTCTGGGTGCCCCCCGCCCCGCCCCGCGCAGGAATTTGTTTACCAAAGGTTTACACTTTCACACCTGCCTTCCCTCTGAAGCCTTGAGGCCTCCCTACCTTTCAGTCCAGAACAGCATTCATACATGCTTTGTGTGCTTTAACTGCCCTATCTGTCCTCAGGGTCCCCTATTCTATGGAACCTCTGTCTATATATGTAATGAAATCAGTTATTTTCTCCTGTTAATCTCTCATGTTAATTTTATTATTAGACCAGCCAGAATAACTAGATGGGTAGAAGAAAAATTCGGTTTCCTCTCCTACAATGGAAAAGAAGCTGTTCAGCTGAAGATCTTGCAGGTCGTTGATAATCTTGGCAGAAGTCTCCATAAAACGTGGTGATGAAGCAAGATTAAAATGGTGTGGGAAGTGAACAGAAGGTAGTGATGAGGAGTGGGTGACTAAAAATGATTTTTTCTGGTTTTTGTCATTGAATGAAAAGAGAGAGGACAGTAGGTGAAGGAGCCGGGGCAGGGGGGAAGGTTCAAGCTTTTTCAGTAACACTCAGGAACTACTCAAGATTGATTGAGAGCCTGTTAGGTGCCCAGCACCTTGCAGGTCCTGGAGATCCAGGACGCAGTGTCTGTTCTATATCCTACTGGAGGGTACTAGAGTCTATGGGAGATAAGCAAGCAGGCAGTCACAGTACAATGTGACACCGAGTTCGGTCTATGTGTGATGGCAAACAGAGGCTGCTGTGGGAGCATCTAACAACCTCTAACTAGGAAAGCAGGTTTGTGGAGGACTCTGGGGTCAGCGACGGTTGAGCTGAGGTCTGAACAATGAGAAGGGGGGCGGGGAGCGGTTTCCAGGAAGAAGCTACTGCCTGTGCAAAGGCTCAGAGGAAGAAAGACCCTGTTGCAGAAGGAACTGAAAGTAGTTCAGTGTGGCTGCAGCTTAGAGTGGGGTGTGGTGACAGGGATAATAAATTCAGATTTGCATTTTATCAAGATCTCCAGCTGCAGTAAAACTGGAGGAAGGGAAGGAATCGAATGCTCCTTTTTAGATTCACATTTGATTATGAAGCACCTTGCACGAGTCAAGATCCAGGCAAGAAACAGACAGCGTACTGAAAGTGTTTAAATAAAAAAAGTTTAATGAAAGGACTCTTTACAGACCTCTTCATAGGGCAGGGTAAGGGACCCACAGTCTGGCGGTAGCTGGCATTATCCAAACCCAACCAAAGCCGGAAGGCAATGGAAGCTTGAAGATGGAGCTCTTAGAGGACGCCCTCCTGAAGCACAGAGGAGGCACGAGGGGCGGAGAGTGGGTGGCGGTGAGGGGACACAGGGCTTCCAGCACTCACCTGTTGCAGGCAGCGTCCTCTGGAGCACCACAAAACCCTTAGATATTTTAAAAAACAAAGGGATGTCGGCCAGACAATTCAGTGCTTCTGAAACCATTGGAAGGGCTGGAGGACTGGAAGCCAAGGGACCCTGAACTCATCAAGGTCGCATCATCTGTGGCAAACATCACCAGTGTTCACTAATACCTGGTTCTCCATGACCTCCTGGGCACATGGGACTTTACATTTCTGGATCCTTTGTAGTTAGGTGGGGCCAAAAACATGTGAAAAGCAGTGTGTCACTTCCAGGAGGAGACCGTGGAAAGCCTTTGAGCAGCCCTCTAGACTTCCTCTTCCTTGCCACGACAGTTATGGAGGAAACCTTGGGTTAAGACGCAGTGACTACAAGGCTGAAGCAGCCCGGATCACCGAGTCAGCACGTGGAGAACTGCCAACGCCAGCAGTAAATTCCCCGCACCCCAGCCCCGCTCCAGTTTTGAGATATAATTGACATATAACATTGCATTAGTCCAAGATGTACAACCTAAGGATCTGATATAGGTGCATATTGTAAAATGATTACTACGATAGCTTTAGTTAACATCAATCACCTCCCTCGCTTCTGGCATCTGCTGGTTGGAATTTGATGTCAAGGGAAATGTTGGAAGACACGTGCTGAAGATGATAGAGCTTGGGTCTCTGCATGACTGTGTGGCCAGAGCCCCTCCCTCACTCCTCTACCTCCGACCAGGGACACTGGCATTGAACTATGATGTGAGCAAGAAGCAAACTTTTACTGTGACCTTTCGAGGTATGTTTGTCACAACAGTTAGCATTACCCTAATAATAGAAATTGTCACAGAATAGCGTGCTGTCGTAAAAAATCTAAAGCTAGTCAGGCAGGCAGTAGACAGCATGGAAACTAACATTAGGAGCTAGAAAGTGGAAATTCATGGCAAGACATTTGATAAAAAGAGTTGTCTGTGATAATCAGCAGGCATGTAAGTGCCTACAAAGTCTGTAGCTCTAGAAGAAGCTGGGAAATGGAACATTAGTGGGTTATGCTTACTAGCTGCATTTAGAAACATATTAGAAAAATGAGCTCATGCAATAATAAACAGATTTGCACGCATAAATGTAAAGGCGTATAGAGAGCACAGAAATTTGGAGCCTCAAGGGATTGGAAGAACCGGCTGCGCTATACTGCAAAGAATAGGAAATGAGATTGAAAAAGCTTTTGAGCAACACAGGCCCATTAAAACTGAGCCATGCAGCAGAAATTAGATTTAGGGCGTGGCCTTCACAGTTAAGTCTGATGGCCCTTTAAGTTGAGAAGAGAAGTATAGGGGTGAAAAAACAAAGAAATAAATTAGGATCAAGAATT